GCTGAAGTCGGACGCTTAACCGACTGCGCCACCCAGGCGCCCCTAATGTTTATTTATTTTTGAGACAGAGAGAGACAGAGCATGAACGGGGGAGGGGCAGAGAGAGAGGGAGACACAGAATCGGAAGCAGGCTCCAGGCTCTGAGCCATCAGCCCAGAGCCCGACGCGGGGCTCGAATTCGCGGACCGCGAGATCGTGACCTGAGCCGAAGTCGGACGCCCAACCGACTGAGCCACCCAGGCGCCCCAACACGGACATTTTAAGTGTAGAGTTCAATGAGTTTTGACGCAGGTATTTACCGGTGTGATCACATCATGGTCAGGATAAAAACACTTGCATCACCCCGGGAATTTCCCTCGTGTTTCTTAGCAGCCAATCGCTGATCCCACCTCTTTTCCCAGAAAACCACTGGCCTGCTTCCTGTGACCATCCATTCATTTTGTCTGTTCTAGAACTTCGTGTGAGTGGAACCATGCAGTGTGCATACTGACTGTGCTGACCGGCTTCTGCCATACAGTGTTCCGTTTCTGAGATTAATCCGTGTTATTTTATGTGTCAATACTTCCCTCCTTTTGCTTGTAGAGTAGTGCTCTACACAGCAGCACGATCAATCCGTTTATTGCCCTGTCTTGTATGTTTAATTTTCTTCAAACAAGAAGTACCTTCACATGGCTCAACAGTCAATCAATGTAACAAGATGTACAGCGAGCAGCCTGGCTCTCGACCCTCTTTCGCATCTTCCCGGCTCCTATCTCCTTCCAGTCGAATCAACATAAAATTCCACTGTGGGAAGTGCTAGGAGACACTGAAGGTGCTTCGACGGCTTCTATTCCAGGGCCCGTGGGAGCCCAGAGAGGGAGCCATCAAGACAGGAGACAGTGCTTGGTTTGGGTTTTGAAGTAATACCCGCAGGAGTCTGGCAGACAGCCACAGGGTGGAAAGGTATCCTGGACAGAGGGAACAGCACCAGCCGGAGCACGGAAGCCTGAAGCAGCACTGTGCATTCCAGAAAGCACAAGGAACTGTGGGAAAGCAAAGGGTTAGGGGCGTGTGGGGGGGGAGAGAGTGACGGAGAACGAGGAGCACACACGGGCAGAATCTCCTCTGGAAGCGCCTTGGTCAAGTATGAACACGGAAGAGTTTTCATTTCCCTGTAATTGACAATCCTTATGTTGTGTTAAATCCCCCTTTTGCCCTGCAGAGGGGCGGGGGGTCCTTCCATGACATCTCAGTCCTGATTCAAACCCTTCCATCACGGTCGGTTGAAGACTTGGTCCTGTCCAGGTGAACCCGCATCTCATATTCTACTATGTAATGTTCTCCCTCTGCCTCGTGCAGACTTCCGGAGGTTCTCGTGGCTCGGAGCGAGCAAGCACGTATGCGCGCGTGTGTGCATGCATGTCCACACGTGTGTGGTTGTACATGAGCGTGTGTGTGTGCATGCGTGCGTGTGTGAGCTTGCATGGGTGTGCTTGTATGCGTGTGCATGCAGGGTGGTTTTCTCTTTCCCGTACCCCTCCCTCTTCCCTGCTCTGATGTAAGGAGGGAGGGAGGGGCTACCCGGGGGAACTGGAAGTCCTCTGTGTTTATCTCCGTGGCAGTGAGGTGACCCTTGCTGAGACTCATCGGCACCCACCAAACCTGGTATCTCTCAGCTCCGAGTGGGTAAACGGAGGCCCCCATAGGTCCTGTTAGTGACAGACTCAATTCCAAGCCGCTGCCCCAGGCAAAACTCAACCCTTGGGAGAATTGTCCTCTATTTGCGGCCCCCAGTTTCACGTCCACAACCCGAGGCCTGTGGCCAGAGTTGAGTCCGGTTTCCTTCCCCTTTGGAAGATGGGACATCAGGGAGGTAGTCCTTGCCTCTTCTTCGTCTGCTTGTTATGGAGCCGACATTTCTAGGGGTGGTTCTCCCGGGGGCCCTTTTGTCTCGGCTTTGTTTAGGGGGACAGCCAAGAGTCTTTCCCTCTCTCCCATCAGATGATAGGGAGAAGGGATAGGAGGGGGGCTTTGTTTACAACTTCCTGGAAACAGTTCAACCAGGAGCCTGGCCAGGTGGGGTTTGGGTTCTGCCCTGAGGTCCAGCAGCAGTGGGAGGATGGAGACGATCTCAGTTAAGGGTGCCCATGTGGTTGGCCTCCGGAAGGATCCGGGGGCCAGATCATACTGCCCGTAGTAGTTGGCTAGGGCCCCTGTGACCGCGTGAACAACCGGGGGGATTAAATAACAGAAGTGTGTTTTTTCACAGTTCCGGGGCTGCGACGTCTGAGGTTGGGGTATGGGTGGCGCGGGGTCCTTCTCAGGGCTGTGAGGGAGAATCTGCTCCGGTCCCCTTCCCTCACTTCCTGCGGCTCTCTGCCAGTCTTCGGCATTCTGTGGCTTGTAAACACATCACCCCGAATTCTGCTCTCATCGTGGCGTGGCATTTTCCCTGTGCACGTCTGTCTCTAAATTTCTCTTTCATAAGGACACCAGTCATACCGGCTTAGATGCCCACCCGACTGACCCATCGTAACTCGTTACCTCTGCAATGGCCCTATTTGCAAACAACATCACATTTTGAGGTACTGGGGGCTAGGGTTGCAGCATGGGATTTTGGCAGGGGGCACACTCCAACTCGTAAGAGTGTCCCATCATCTGCAAGGAGTGACGATGACAGTTAAAGTCGTGGCAGTGCTGAGATCTGAGTCAAGGTCCCGCATGACTATTTCTCCGTAAGCCTGTATCCCATCCCCCAAATGGGCCTAACGCTACTGACCTTGTAGGAGTTGTGTGGGGATTAAACAGGAGCACATTTGGGAATGGCTTGAATGTCTGGTACCTGCTGGGCCTAGGCAGTGAGGTCGTGTGCCCTGGGGACCCTTCCTTGAGCCGACCTCCTGAGACATCTCATCTTGCCAGAGATGTGAAGCCAGCAGCAGAGGAAAACTAACTGTGGCTTTCACTTCTCCTTGGGCTGAGACTTGAGGTCATGGCCAGGAGATTGGAAGTTCATGTAGCAGAGCTCCAGGGCTAAAGCCCTGCAAAAGCTCTGTGCTGAAAACATGCCTTTGAGACGTTTTTACAGGCACTGCCCTCTTCGTCGGGCCCCCCAGGGCCTCCTGCACCTGTCTCAGTGTTCTTTCTGCCACCTCATCCTGGGATTGGTCTCCTCACTGCCTCCCACCCAAGACCCTCTTCTTCCAAGGACAGGGGGTGCACACCTACCTACAAACACCCACGGGGAGGCCTAGCCACAGCATTTTCCTTCTCTGCCCCAGTGGAACCGCTTGACCGCTCGCTCTCTTAGGTCCATCCCAGGCCTGCATAGACCTTGACCTGCAGCAGGGGCACTGTGTCTGTCACTGATCCTTTGGGCTCAATTCCATCCCGAGCTTCTTCCAGGACTGGGCCGACGCCCTAGTTCACCTGATTGCCAAATATCTTTATACGCAGTATCTATACACGATAAAAATGGAACAAATGCTATCAAAGGGCAACAATAACTCTTCCTTCTACCTGTCCCCAGTCTTTCGGCTTTCTGCCCCAGAGGCAGTGTCTTTCTCATCCTTGCAGACGTACTTGATGACCAGAGACGCACGCATGGTAACACAAATTCTCTACGTCTGACTTCCTGCACTTGGATAGATCTTGGAAATGGCTTCATAACAGCACATGCCTATCTGGCCCATCTAGTTTAATGATGGCAGAGTATCCCATGATTGGGAAATCCAGTCCGTTTGACCTGTCTCCTCTTGATGGACATCCGGATGATTTCGATTCTTGCCAGGGCAGACTTCACTGCGAACAATATCG